CTTCCTTCCTTCCTTCCTTCCTTCCTTCCTTCCTTCTTTCCTTCCTTTCCTTCCTTCCTTCCTTCCTTCCTTTCCTTCCTTCCTTCCTCTCCTATATTTACCTTTCTTTTTCCTTTCCCTTTCCTTTCCTTTCCATTCCTTCTTCCCTTCCTTCCCCTTTTCCCTTTTTCCTTTCCTTTCCTTCTTCCCTTCCTTCCCCTTCTCCCTTCTTCCTTTCCTTTCCTTTCCTTTCCTTTCCATTCCTTCTTCCCTTCCTTCCCCTTTTCCCTTCTCCATTTCCTTTCCTTTCCTTCTTCCCTTCATTGCCCTTCTCCCTTCTTCCTTTCCTTTCCATTCCTTCTTCCCTTCCTTCCCCTTCTCCCTTCTCCCTTCTCCCTTCTCCCTTTCCTTTCCTTTCCTTTCCTTTCCTTTCCTTTCCTTTCCTTTCCAAAGAACTTCCAACTCTGATATTCTGTTATATGCAAAAGTGAATTTTAAAAGAGCCTCTTGGTGGAGAAAAAGGATCAGGAGCCCCGATATCACCTCTTCGGGGGGGGGGGGGGCTTACCAGCTTGCGTGACCCTAAAACCAGGAGGAGAGGTTGCATGCCTCCTGCAAACGTCGCAGGAATCCACCTCCAGTTGGTGGGCACAGAAAAAACCCGGCTGGCAAGTGCATTTCGCGTCCTTCGTGTAGTGGCATCGCTCTTTGACTTCCATGTGATTTCCTGCAAGGCAGAATGACAAACGTTCTCCAAAGGCCCTCTTGAGGTCCTATAGCCTGACTCAGAGGCACCTCACCCACGAGCCCTAAATCTACTCATGGTGTATTGTCCCCAAGGAGCCGTGGTGGCGTGGTGGGTCAGAAGGCAGAGTTGCAAGCTAACTCTGCAGACCACCAGCAGTTCGATCCTCACCGGCTCAAGGTAGACTCATCCTTCCGTCCTTCCGAGGTCAGTAAAATGGGGACCCAGATTGTTGAGGGGGGGAAGGCTGACTCTGTAAACTGCTTAGGGAGGGCTGGAAAGCACTGTGAAGTGGCATATAAGTCTAAGGGCTATTGATATGATCCTGGTGGCTAGGATGGGAGGAATTAAAAAAAAATTGTAGGAATACCAGGAAACTAGTTTTCTCGACTTGAGCTATCCCACCCAGAGTTTCCCTGTTAGTTAGGTCGATCGGTTTGTTTCTTTACCTGGAGAACATTCTCGGCACTTCAAACACATTCTCAATCCATTTGGGTGCTCCGTAAACCATCCGGGGTCACAAGAAACACAGACAGTATTGGTAGCCCTGGTGCAATGCCTTAAAACGCGCTGTCCTAGATTGAAGAGATCGAAAAGGATCACAGAATCCTAGGGCTGCAAGGGAGCCTTGGAGGTCGTCTAGCCCACTGGTCACCAACCGGTGGGCCCCGGCCCACTGGTGGACCCCAAGAAAATTTTGGTGGGCCAAAGAGAAATGTCACACACACCCCCAAAAGCAATTAATCCAGGCTGCGCAGGAACACAAGGCTGCGCCACCCACATGGCCCTGGGCAACCCTCCCCACCCATTCCTGCTAAGTTGCTATTTTTCCTTTTTTCCGACTATCAGCTGTTCTGCTGTGCCAGGAGATTTAGATCAGCTAGAAAGCAGGAAATGGTTGGATTTCTTGCTTTCTAGCTAGTCTTTAGATCTTCGGCTCTGCTTTTAAGCAGAGGCGAACCTCCCTTAGGACTGAAGGTTCTGTTATTCAGTGCAGACTCTTGGCAAGCAGATTTTATGTGACAGACTCAGGTAGCCGATGGCAGATAGATAGATCACTGAATGATTCTGTGAGCAACTCAATCTGCCTGCCTGCTTAGCCTGATTTTGGGTAAAAGTTGCTCTTTTTTTATATAAAAAAACAATATTTATATAATTTTTTATAATATTTACATACAAGCCATGCCCAGCCAGTCACATGACCACCAAGCCACACCCACAAATTAGGCCACACCCACAGAACCGGTTAGTGATCCCTGGGATTTAAAATTATGAGTTTGGTGGTCCCTGGGGTCCAAAAGGTTGGCAACCCCTGGACTAGCCCAACCCCCTGCCCCAAAAGAAAATCCATTGTCAAAAACATTGTGATTAGGGGAATGTGGAAAATAGAATATTCTGTTCTAACCATTTATGTAAATTGGTGTGTTTTCTGCTTGAGCAGGGGGTTGGACTAGAAGACCTCCAAGGTCCCTTCCAACTCTGTTTATTCTACGTTCAGTCTCAGCTCAACCTGCTACAATTACCTGCTTCTTTCACTCTTCGGTCCTCCTTCTAGCCACGCAGAACAGAGACCCTTTAACCTACCTTCGCTACACTTGGGACAGCACTCCCCTTTGATGGAGTATTCCCACGATTCACAGGAAAAGGCGTCCGGAAGGAGCAGCAAGTGGATCACCAAGGCAACGTGAAGCACCTTTCATAAAAAGGGGGGGAGGAGGGGGAGGAGGAGGAGGAGGAGGAGGAAGAGGAGGAGAAGGAGGGGAAGAAGAAGGGGAAGAAGAAAGGGAAAAATAAGAGGAAGGAGGAGGAGGAAGAGAAGGAGGGGAAGAAGAAGGGGAAGAAGAAAGGGAAAAAATAGAAGAGGAAGGAGGAGGAGGAGGAGGAGGAGGAGAAAGAAGAAAAAAATAACTCCTTTGCTTAGCTCCTCACCTGATTCGCAATTTTGCCCAATTCAGCAGAATTCACACGACGTAACGCGCCTATTTCTGTTGGACCTTGCCTGCAAAATAAACCCCTTCAAATTCCTAATTCATCCCAGTTCTTATTTCCAACGAATCCGCTATGTTTGTACGGAAGATAAATACAGGGAAAGAAAAGTAGTTTGATATCGTTACCATCTCCACTTCTTTTTTAAAAAAATTCTGACTTAAAATTCTCATTCGTTCTCATTCATTCTTCAATTTCATGGCTATGACTTTTTTAAATTCTGAATTGTTCTTCTCGGCTGTCTCTGCCTGGACCTGGACCTCCCTTCCCAGATGGTGGGTTTTTCCCCCCTCCCCTAATGTTTACTGAGGTTTAGCAAACAAGGCAGCTGTTTTCTCCAAATTTCTCAAAATCCCCATCTGCAGTTCCCAAGACAGTGTATATATTTAGGTCTACAACAGGAAATAATCTTTTGAGGCCCTAACATGGTTTTTTTTTATCTGTTGATAGCTCAGTTTTATTACAGCCGCCTTCTTGGGTCTTTACAGTTAATCCTCGGCTTTACGACCATAATGGAAGCTGAAATTTTCGCTGCTAAGCAAGACAGGCATGAAGTGATTTTTCTTGCCATGTTTGTTATGGGAATGTGGCTTCCCCGTTGATTTGGCTTGGACTAGAAGACTGTATTTCTTTCTTTCCTTCCTTCCTTCCTTCCTTCCTTCCTTCCTTCCTTCCTTCCTTCCTCTCCATTATTTACCTTTCTTTTTCCTTTCCTTTCCTTTCCTTTCCTTTCCTTTCCTTTCCTTTCCTTTCCTTTCCTTTCCTTGGAAGGAAAGAACCGAACCTTGAAAGTCGCAAAGGTACATTATCTGAGCCCAACACCCTGCAACCGTCATAAATATGAATCAGGGGCCAAGGTTTCGAATTTTGATCACGCGAACACGGAGATGTTGACATAATAAACAGTCCCATGTCCCTTTTGTTTCAGGGCCGTTGCAACTTTGAACAGTCACTAAATGAATTGTGTTATAGGGTGGGAACTATTTGCAATTATGAGAAAGCGCCTGCTCTCTGCTACAACTATAGCTGAGGAAACGTGTCTATGTGTGTATGAATTATTTCTTTCCAGAGCTAAAGTTCAAGGAAATGGCTAATAAACACAGCAGATGATATATTTGTGTTTGGTTTGGCAAGGGCACAACCATATTCCTGGATATGATGGAGGAGGCCGGGCTAACCTGGCTCTTCCCAGCTAGACAAACTTTTATTTACATTTATTTAACCTTTTTGCTGCAGCTTGTGGCTGATTTGCAAAGCTCGGAGGGGAGGAAGCCAACCCCGCTGGGTTTCCGATCTTGGAAACGCTTCAAAAGGTCTTTTTTTCCCCCCTTCACAAGTCACTCTGAGCTGATGGAGGCCAGCTCTACACACACACACACACACACACACACACACACAGAGAGAGAGAGAGAGAGAGAGAGAGAGTTCAGAAGGAAGTCAAGAAACTGGAAACGGCCCATCCCGAAAGAACCTTTGTTCCTTCACGTTGCAAGCATCGATCTGCCCAGTTAAGGGAGTTAAAAAAAAATTCATATCATAAAAGGATCCTATTAATAATCCACCACTTTCACAAGGTTAACAATTAACCAACCCGAATTATAAAAAATATAATTCCCTTCTTCTTCCTCCTTCCCTTCCCT